CTTACATATCTTCTTTGATGACCCATTTTAGATGGTTTTTGCTCTTTTCTTTCAAAGAAAAACATAAATATATTTTATTCATTCTTGGAGGATTTTGCTTGCCTGCATACATATATTTTAATCATGTTCACCACCACCTCCTCTGTATCTCCTCTTAGATCCATCCTCACCTTGCCATCCCCTCCCAACTTTGTGTCTTCCTTTTTAAAAAAGAAGAATAACAACCCACCAAGTCTAATTTGTGCTGCCTGTGTACTCAAGGGTGTGGAGTCATCCACTGGTCAACCTAGCAGGGGCCATACCCTTAAAGAAAACTGACTTTCCCCCAGAAGCTGTCAATGGTTCCTCAGTTAAGGGAGGAGTCTCAAGAGCCACTCCCCATTCTATGATGATGCCTTGATTTTGTGCAGGTCGTGGACAGACAGCCATGGCTGCTGTGAGTTCATGAGGGCAGAGGTAGCCTCATATCCAGAAGCTAGTTTCACTCCCATTCCCTTTCACAATGACCCCTGAACCTTGCTGGGAGGGGTGTGATGGAGATGCTCTATTGGTCACTGTTGCTCATTTATTAATTGGGTTGTTTGCTCATTGTTGAATTTTAAGATACACAGTGTGTGTGTGTGTGTGTGTGTGTGTGTGTGTGTGTGTGTGTGTGTACATGTGTGTGCATTGTATGTAAATCTGGATTCAGGACTTTTTTATTGGAAATGCAGCATGTAAATATTTTCACAAACCATGGCTAGTCTTTTCATTTTCCTAACGGCATTTTTCAAAAGAGCTAAAGTTTTGATTTGGTCAAGTCCAGTTTATAACTATTTTTAATTATTTCATGAATTGAGTCTGGCAATGAAATTTTAGCACTAAATTCAAAATGAAAATTTGACCCAAAATTTAGCACAAAAACTCAAAAATCAGAAGATTCTCAGTCTTAACATGCAAAATCTTTACAATTTTACTCTTTACAAGGAGGTCATTGACCAGCTATGAGTCATGCCTTCAATGCCTTCTTTTCTTTCTTTTCTCTAATGACATCTGTATCTCTGACGACATTCAGCTGACTGCCTTTTGATGGGCTCTGTCTGTATCATGTTCCATTGACCCACGTGTTGATCTTCTCATCAGTTGCCCCACCTTGATTGAAGCAGCTTTGCATTACGTTAAAGTTGGTCACTGTGGTCCCTCCCACTTCATCATCTTTTCAGGATGCTTTTAACTGTCCCGGTCAGCTTTGCTCTCAAATATGTTTTAGAATAGCCTGACTGATATTTCCAAAGCAAATGTCTGGAATTTTAACTGAGACTATACTAAACATGAAAGCCAAATCTTAATATAAGTGCATGATCCTGATATGTCTTTTCTATCCATTTAGATTGTTTCTGATTCACCGTCAGCACATAACCCTTCTACCCATTTCATTAGATTTAAATTTTACATACTCGTGGTGTGTTATGACAGCAATAGGAAAGTGACTCATATAAAATATGAAAATATGAATGGCTTTTGTACATCTTTCCTGTAGCCTGAAAAGATGTTAAGCAGTATTTTAGAAAGAAAATAAAAAAGATTCTGATTTGGAGCATGCTGAAGGGAGTTTGAAGAACGAGCCTACACTTTTTCTCTCATCAAACACTTTCCACAACATCCATGAACAGAGTCCACATAAGAAAAGATGCTCAAACAGCATGAAACTAGGGAGGCAGAAGCTGAAGCTCCACGAGAACTGGACTTTTTCTCATACTGGCAACACTACTGTGTGTGAGGCAGGCAGTGGGGAAGGAACCCTGCCTTCTAATATGAATCCATATGAATGCAATCTGACAATATAATACAAAATCATAAAATCCCAGGAACCACTTCCCAGGAATTAGTCCTACAGACATTCTTAGAAAAGAAAAAAAAAACCTATGTGTGAAATTATTAATTATACTGTCGTTGTATTAGAAGAAAGAAGCAGCTCCAGTGTGCACAGTGATGAACTGCATATGTTGCTGTATCTCTGAACAAGACTTAAAAGTAAATTTGGGCAAAACGTCTGCATTATTGGCAGAAGAAATTTCAGAAAATGAAATTAGCAAAGCACCACCGGCAATATCCTTCGTACTAGACCTACATATCGAAATTAAAATTTTGATGTGTTGTCCCATTGAAGCCTGCAGACAAATGGGCTCAAAACCAGATCTTTTGTGTCACATTAACATTTTCAATAATAATGAAAGAGTGCTTGCCATATACGAATGTTTTATTGGGGGCTGGGAGTTCTTACACTTTAACATTGCATCCCTGTCCTCTGTACGCTGTTAAGTTCTATTTGGAGTCTCCTGTTTTTCTAGAAATATTTTATTAATAGCCATTTGCTTAAGCAAATAAATTTATGCTGTTAAAGTCTTAAATGTTAATTTCACCTCTATCTTTTACATTTTAACTTACATAGTGTTGATGGTCGATAAAACTTGGAAGTGCAGGAACCTGTAATTGGAATTCTGGGTTCGTGCCCACTTAGTGCTGGGGGTTGGAATGAAGTTTGGAGACTGCCGTTTTAGAAAGGTGATCTCACTTGCAAGGGAAGCTCTGGCTAAGCTGTCTAATGGATCAAGCTGTTGACCAGGAAGAATAAAAAGAGAGTTAGGTAGACGCTAAACAAGATTGTTGAGGACTTTGGTGTTCTAGAACCTCTAGGCACCTGGAAACAAAGGCAATAAGAATCCTTCCTTTGCCAAGGCTCTAGGGAAAGACCCTTGAGTTAGTGAAGGATCACTTGTGCCTTGTGAGAATCAGAAATGGCTTCAGGGGATTCAGGAAGGTTCTGGAAACTAACACTCACTGACTGAGTAAGTAGAACTAGGTTCCTCGCACCCATCACCCAGGAAACCAGTCTCTAGATGAAACTGGGAATCTGTCTTCTTAGTAAGAGTGGAACCACAGCTGTCTGACCAGCCCAGCAAGGGTGAGCCCTGGATTCAGGGTGGTTGAACAGTATGCTTGGGGCTGCCACTGCTATGGCTCTTGTCTTGGACTGTTTCAGAGCAGATTCTGATGCAATGGTTGGAAACTGACTAGATATGTACTCTCTTACCCATCATCTGTCTCCCTGTCTGTACCTAGTATAAAGTCACATTTTCCTAAAGAGACAGATGGTATTGTAGGTTTGATGGCCTCTACAGTTTGTCATAGTTCCTGGGGACTGACACTGCACTGTGGAAGCAGACAAGCACAATATACCACCATATAGGCCACCATATACCACCAATATATTAACATATATACCACCATACAGGCAGACCCCAGTTCTAATAAAACCTTACTTGGAAAAATAGATCTGATTTTCTGAGCCTTGTCCTTCACCAGCATCCAGGTACCCCATTGCTTAGAAACTGGAAACCCCATTGTGGTCCTCTGCTAGTCCATTCTTGTACACTGAGCTCTGCTTTCAATCTTCTCAATTGGGGGGAATCTATCCCCATGGGAATGACTAGCACCTTGGGAAGATTCTAGGCAGTTGCAGAAAATAATAATAATAGACAAAAAACTGCACAAATCTTAAGTTAGTGTCCTGAGTAATTATCAGAAGTATCGCAGCAGCCTCACTCTAGCAAAGGGGTATTGCCTGGAGATGGCATTGTTTGGATGGCAAAATATCTTGTTGGAAGCCAGTTGCCAACAAGAAAGGCAACTCTCACTCTTGCAACCCTTTTAATGAAGTCACCACCAGGTTCCTTTGTTGCCCCTGTTCCTCATCCTCAACATTTCCCATTCATGTGATCCATTGTCCTCTATCCAGTGGAATTCACCAGAAGCCAAACATATAGGGACCTCCACTGGAGTAGCAGTGAAGGAAAGCCCTCAAAACAAAACAAACAAACAAAAAACCAACCAGAAACTAAAACCAACCCACCTTTTCTTTCTCTTCCTTTTGCAATGTCAGAGGAGAGACTAGTATGTCTCTCAGCACCTCCCCATCTGGAAAAGCAACAAATAGGAGAATGGCAGAGACATAGAGCCCTCAGCAGACCAGAAGTCCAATGTCCCCACAGACACTCATCTCTCCCATGTCTTGCTGCCAAAATTGAGTGTGTATGTAGGGAATACCTTTCTCCCTTCTTTCCTCATCTATTCGGAGTCAAGATGAACATCTGGAAAGGCCATGGTGCCCACCTGGATGTCAGTGAGGGAAGGTACATTTCTCTTTGTCCGATTCTAAGGGCACAGCAGCAAGAGACTCCAGTCTTATTCCTGCCCTGTGTATTGTGTCTGAGTTATTTTCTCCTCCCCCGATCAGGTTCAGAATGGCCGAAAACTGGCAGGACGTAATCAGGTGGGTATAGCATGAATTCTAATTATTCTTAATAATAAAAACTATCAGGGGTGAAAGCTGAAGGATCAGAGAAGCAGTGTGGCCAGCCACTAGAGTTTTCTTATTCCACCAATGCTCAGACCAAAGGGGCAATCCTCTTCTCAGTCTGCCTCCTCAGACTGACTGCCTCAGATTGTACTGCTCCTCATACTACACTGAGCTCCTGTCTCCTTCTGCCTTGTATTCTTCTCTATGCTTAGCCATATCACTCCTGTCTCCACATCCTCAGTGTTGGGATTAAGGGCATGTGATCCCAAGTGCCTGGATCACCTTTGTGTGAGCTCTGTTTCTCCTTTAGATAGAGTTAATTTCTTGTAGCTCAGAGTGGCCTTGAACTTGCAGAGATCCGTCTGCGTCTGTCTCCCAGGTGCTGGGATTAAAGGTGTGTGCCACTACTGCCTGGCTTCTATGGCTTACTAGTGGCTTAGCTCTGCACTCTGATTTTCAGGCAAGCTTTATTTGTTATAGCATAGACAAAATATCGCCACAGGTGGGGTTGCCCACAACCAAGAAGTACTAACGTGGGGTTGCCTCCAACCAAGATAACTATGTTCTGAAACTCTGGTAACTGGTGCTCTGAGGATGAATCAGGCTTGTCTGACCACTCTCCGGATCTTTTGGCAGGCTCTGCTTCCAACGGGCCTTGGGGATGAAGGCTGCCGGCATCTTGGCCCTGATTATCAGCCTCAGCATAATTGCAGAATCCAAAGTCTACACTCGATGTAAACTAGCAAAAATATTTGTGAAGGCTGGCCTGGACAATTACGAGGGATTTACCCTTGGAAACTGTGAGATTCCTCCCCTGCCTCCTGTCTCATTCTAGTTTTGAGTGTGGGTGTCTGCTAGGAGGTACTACAGATCCACTCTGTGTTTCCACCTGGTGGTCTCCAGCCCAGCAAGCTCTACTCCCACTGGAGATGGCTGCCAGCTCTTCAGATGTTCTCCCAAGCTGCTCACGCTCACCCTTTTCTCCTTCTCCTCATGGTTTTTGTGCTCATTGCTGGAGTCCTGTGCTCATGACTCCAGGAAGGGAAAAGAACAATGATGCCACCCATCCCAATGTGTGGAGGAGACAAGGCTCAGTTACTGGCTGGGGTGCAAGTTCTGGTTGGCACCCCTGCTCCTGTACACACTCCCAAGTCCTGCTGACATTTCTCACTTGTGCATCCCGCCCAAGGTTCTGCTGGGAGGAGGCCACTGGTTATAAAGAAATTGTATAAAGAAAGGAACTTCATGGGGCAGGCTGAGCTAAAGGACTATGATCCCCTTAGGTCTTTCTCTCCCCATATAGGGATCTGTATGGCATACTATGAGAGCCACTACAACACCACAGCCCAGAAGATCCTGGAGGATGGGAGCGTTGACTATGGCATATTCCAGATAAACAGCTTCACGTGGTGCAGAAATGTAAGAAGACAACAGAAGAATCACTGCCATGTTGCCTGCTCAGGTACTGTTTCTGATTATCCAAATTATTCATCTTCCGGAGGCAAAGATAAGAACATAGATTGCAGGAGGCACACCTATGTCTGCTTTAAAACTCAGAGTTCATATTCACATGTAAGTCATTTCTGGGCCGGCAGATGGCTCAGGAGCTTCTCCTGAAGCATAGGTGAACAAATGTCTTATTCGTCCTAGGGTGGTTTTTAGTAAGCCCTCCATGAAAACAGGGTTGAACAGATGACCTAGGTCTTTTCATGAACTGACACATTTCAATTTTCAAAAGGAATGGAAATCGGTCCCTGCCAAGTGCATACCAGAACTGCCATTCTTTGTGCACTGAACTCTGTCTCTCTTTGTGTGGATTAAGACAAATAGGCTCCATTTCCATTTCTTAAAGAGTAGAAATTAAACTAGGATTCACTTCCTGTTCTCTGCTTCTGTTACTCAAGGGACACTTGTCGGACCAGGATTGAAACACACCATGCATGAGCTCTGCTTTACCAAGCCTTACCCAGTGAACAAGAGTGTGTGTTGATACAAAAGCTTAGCCAGGCAGGAGTCAATTAATGCTCCAAGGTCAAGTGATATTTTAAGAAATTCCAGGGCCGGGGATATAACTCAGTGGCATACAGTGCTTGTCTGGCATGTTGGACACCCTACAATCAATGCCTAGTTCCACCAAAAAATAGAAAAAAAAGTTTCATGGAAAACTCTAACTGGGGACATGGAAGACGTACAGAATTTGAGAATCTAGGGACAAAGAAGAGTCATTCTAGGCAAAGCAAATAGCAAAAACAAAGAACTGCACACGGGAAGGTTTAAGGTCCAGGAGTGCTAAGACATTCTTCCTATGGGGAGGAAAGAATACTTAAGAATCCTAGCAAATGTGGTGGGCTGGAAACTTCTGGCTGAGTGGTTGATGCCAGACAGGCTAAGAAGTCTGCCTTGGTTTCTGCCTGCAGTGGGTAGACAGTCGTGATCAGTCAGTTTAGCACTGATTACAATGGACTCATTTGCAAAAAGGGCATGAAGTAGGTCAACGAGAATGCCACCTAAGCAGCACTGCAGTGACTGTAGTGATGCTGTAGCAAGTTGACATAGCAAGTGACAACTGTAGCAAGTGATCATTGGTGCTCACAGTGGAGAGGCTGGAGAAGAGAAAGCAGAGCTATGAAGCAGGCAGGAAAGATGGGGGAAGATTGCTGTGCTCTTCTCCCTAATTCATTCTCTGATGTGTCCCCAAAACCTAGATCATTATCTGGCCATTATTGGTGCTCAATAAATATTAATTTATTAAAGACATGAACAGAAAGAATGAAGGATGAGGTTGAAGTCAGTCAGAAAGGACTCTAGGCCAAATTCTTTGGGAGTAGAAAACAAACTGTGTTTTAATTGATCTTTGCTTCATCAAAGACAGACAGTAATATGTTTGCACAGACTTAGGACTGAATCATGCATCGATTTACCTGGTGAATTGTTCATACCCAGCAATAATACAGAATGGTAACAGCCTTCTAAGGCAAACTGCCCAACTGTTTACTAACCATTCATATAGAAGATTATTCTGTCAGACCTCTGGTCTGCTTCTTCCCCTTGGTTCTAGTTTTTTTCTTCTGGATCCATTCAAAACAAATCCATCCTATCTTATAGTTGAAGGCTAGTGACAGCCTGCAGAAGATGCCTTTTTAGATTTTTATCTCCTGTGCTAAAACCATCTGTATCTTTGACAAAACCTTTCAGCCCTCCTAGTGCAGGTCAGTCTCATCAGCACTCTCTAACAGCTTGGAGAAGGGATTTCCTGCTAAGTGTGACAATCAGACCTGTGCATTCCCTGCACCAGAGCTCAATAGTGGCACTTCAGTGTGTTTGCTCTCTGCTCTGGTTAATTTCAATTATTAACTTGATTGCTTTAAGAAACAGCTAGAGCACTAAGGAGACACACCTGAGCATGTCTGTGAGGGTGTTTGCTGAGAAGTTAGCTGAAGAAGGAAGACATGACCTAAATGTGGGCAGCACCCTTCCGTGGATAGAATAAAAGGGGAGAAAGGAGCCAGGCCCACTGGTGCACACCTTTAATCTCAGCACTTGGGAGGCAGGCAGATCTCTGTGAGTTTGAGGCCAACCTCGTCTACAGAGTGAGTTCCAGGACAGCTAGAGCAACATAATGAGATCCTGTCTCAAAAAAACAAACAAAAGAAAAATAAGAAAGGGGGTGAAAGGGGAAGGAAATGAGCAGCGGGATTCAAGTCTCTCTACTTCTGTACTGGGGACACAACGAGGACCATTTGCCTCGTGTTCCTTCTCCCATCCATGCCTTTCCCACCATGATGGACTGCTTCTCCTTCAAAAATCTTTTATCTCTTTCCCTTTGCTTATTGTTTTGTCATAAAAACAAGAAAAACATCTAATACACCATTTCATTCCTTAAACCAATGAGTGTATGACCTTATGTAGCAAAAGAGTCTTTAAAATTTCGATTATGAGTGCTGAGTTTGAGCAAAAGAGGGAATATTGGACACAATGATTAGACCCAAACTAAGCATGTGAGTCCTTAGAAGTAGAGAGTCTTGTCCATTTGAGGTCACAGGGAGGCAGGAACAGAAAGATAGATGTAGATTAGAGCCTCAACCAACATTGCTGGCTTGGAAAGCAGACATGAGCCAAGCATTGTGGGTGGCCTGCAGAAGTTAGGGGTGTCTCCCATCTTATATCAAACAAAAAAACATGTGCCTCAATTCTACAATCAGAGGGGACTGAATGCTACCAAAACACAATCGAGGAAATGGGTTCCCCCTAGACCATTCAAAAAGGAAAACATGAGCCAACGCATGATTTTCACCCAACCCCTCCCAGTTTCACCTTCCACATAGCTACAAGAAAAGCTTGTGCTGCCAATGCCATGATGCTTGTGGTCATTTATTTGGGCATAAATAGAAAACAAATACACCTCACCCCTACTTGACAGCCACTGGGAGTCACTAATAAAGTTAAAACAAGGTACATTTTAGGAAAAAGGAGAGCCTTGAGAACAAAACGAAGAATAAACGCTTGTGAATTAACAACTGATGGTGGAAAGGAAAGCCTGGAGGATTAGAGAAGGAAAAGACCATGAGGAAATCTCTAGTAGCAGCACAGGAGAAAGAGAAAGACAGAAAACAGCAGAAATATGGGCAATAAAATGAATGGTATTGCAAAATACAAAGATATGATCCTCGACAGGAGAGAGGAGAAATGTGGAACTCTTTCAAATGTTCCTATTTCCACCCCCAGCACAACAAACACCCAAAATCCAAACTAAAGGACAGGACTCCAGCACATAAGACCTACTGTGTGACTCATGTAATGGAGCCTCACACTCAGGCACATCCTTCCAAAACTTCAGAACACAAAGAGAAATGAAATACGTTACACATTTTCACTAGAAAAACGAATGTATGTGGTCCACACAGAAGATTAAGCACAGAGTGAGCAACATAAGATTTCTCATTTGCAACACTAAGAGAAGAAAGAGGAACAATGTGCCCAAAATTCTGAAGAACAGCTTCCCATAGAAATTCCTTTATTAGTCAAATCGTCAATGCATTTTAAGTACATCCTGAATACATTTTTAAACAAGTTGCTGAAAACTAAAAACTTCACCTTTATATCACATGGTGCCCTGACTTCTCAGAAAACTCAAAGTTAAAAATTAAGGGAAAAACTTAATGTTTTTATTATTTCTTTGAGAATATCATAGTTTTTTTTTTTTTTTTTTTTTTTTTTTTTGTAAGATTATCATATTTTTTTTTTTTTTATCATACTCTACTCTCTACCCCAGCTCCTCACAGAGCCAACCTCTCCACCCTCCTCCAAACACACTCAACTTTGAGCTTTCTTTCTTCCTGCCACATTCCTCTTTCTTTCTTTGCTCAACCTAGTCCAGTCTGTGTTGTCCAACTAGTCTTAGCAGTGAGGTCTAGAGGGTGGTTGACTTACCACGAGTCACATCATTGAAGAAAGCAGACTCTCCCATCAGGTATCAAATGCCAGTGATTCCTTGGTGACAGTGCATTCCCACCTCCCTCTTTCCATGCTGGGATCTTTTTTTCTAACTTGAGCTTGCACAGCCTTATGCATGTTGTTATAGACTTTCTGACCCCTCTCCTGTAAAGATCTCAAGACTTTCTAGGAGAGGGGTCAGAAAGTCTATACGAGTCAGAGGTGATAAATAACTTAAAGCGAACACTTTCCCAGACTCAATAGATCATATACATATGGACTACTTATAGCAGTTGTGACCTCAACTGGCCATAGATTCTCAGTCATGTCAACAGTGCCAGGTATGAGTTCCATCAGAAAGTGGTTGTTAACTCCTGCAACATTCATGCCAATATTTTACCAATAGGTATATCTTGTCAAGCTGGTTATTATTGTAGCTTGAAGTATGACCTTCAGATTACTCTTCTCCAACATCATACATAACACCTTCCAGCAATCCATGAAATTTTTAACAAAACTATTAAAGAATAATCTTTCTTTTGGGAGACAATGAGGATGGTGAAGCAGATTTTGGGGAACAGCAGATATTGCCATTATCTGACCTAAAACAGAATGAAAACAGGGCTGTGACCAGTTTCTCACTGAAGAATCTGTGGAGGAGACATGACCTCTCATTGGGGGACACAGCTATGCCAAGTGACCTAGAGAAAAAATCTGGAAGAAAATAATCTCAGACTCACTGTCCTCACTTCCTCCCTTCCTTACTGGTGTTCAGTCTGACTTTAGCCTCCTGAAGTCAGAGGACATGGAAGTCCGTTGGTAACTTCTCTGTGGATTTGCTTGCCAGTACACAGAGATGATGAAGACAGATATGGAGGAAGATTCTAGAACAGTAGCCATAATTTTCTCATCACATTGTTAGGGGAGGTTTTTCATAAGAGGATAAATTATAGCAAGAAAAAGAAAGACACAAATCAGGAAAACAAAGAAGGCATGCATCCAGTAGCCAGGAACTCAGTGAAGGAAAAA